TTTGTTTTCAATTTTCAATCGATAGATTTTTTTTTGTCCATATAAGGTTGATATAGTCAGTCGATCGATAAGCAAACAGAAATAAATATTTCAAACAAAACTGAAAATCATTTTCCAAAATAAAAAAAAACATCCCCAATCCAAAAAAAAAAAAAATTTTTCCTCATCACACATTTAACCGATTTAACGAATGAACAGAAAAAAAAAACAAACAAGTTCAACAGGTCTGTGGAAACGATGTGAAATGTTTTGAGAGAGAAACAAACAAACAAACAAACAATTGCGAAACCGAAGCGAAAAACGAATGAATATTGAATTTCCGGTCAGATTAACTTCAGAGAGAGAAAGAGACAATCAATTCATTTTGTATGTTCGGAAATGGTTTTTCTGTTCACTCGCTTGCTGTTGAAATCTGAAACAAAAAGAAAAAAAGAAAAATAAGAAATTGATAAAGGAAAAAGCATCAATTTTTCAATCATCATTATATATGACTGATGAAATTGTAGCAAAAAAAAACAAAGAAAAAGTTTTGTTCACATTACCATTAATCGATACAATCGATATTGTTGAATATTCGAATCATCATTATCATCATATAAGCCCTGTGTTGTTAATTTGTTCCATTCAATCATTCAATGATGATCATATTAATACAGACATCATATTATTATCATCAACAACAATCAGACAACAATAATAATAGTATTTTTCAAGAAAAAATAAAAGAAAATCAATTTCCTTCCGGAATCCAATGATGATAATAATAATTTAGATATTATGATTGAAATCTTGAATGAATCAATTTGCTTGTCATTTTTTTTTTGTTTGCGCCTTTTTCATTTCGAGAATATGACAAAAAAATTTTGTTCAATTTTCTTGTCATAAAATTTATTATTGTATGCAAATTTTCTTCATTTTTTTCCATTTGTCTTGTTCATTCAATCTTTTATTCATTCATTTTATATGATGATGATTTGTTCGATTCGAAACATCGTGACATGATGATGATGATGATGTGAATGATAATTTAGATTATTATGGTGTCGGTTTTCGCCATTTGTTTTCATCACACACATGATGCCTGAAATGCAAATTAAAAAGAATCAATTGAAAAAAATAGTTCAAAAAAATCAAATGAAAATACCAGATTTTAGATTAAAATTGAAAACGAAAACAATCAGATTTCAGCAATTATCATCCAAGTTTTATCGATCAAATCAAACAACCAAAAAAAAAAGAAAAGATAATCAAATTTGAATAAAGTTTTGAATTGTTTTTGAACGAAACGTGGAAAAATTGATGATCCTGAATGATGAACTCTTGTTTGTAACCATGGTTTTTGGTAAATTTTGATTTGATTTGATAATGATGATGAACCAAACAGGATGCAAAAAAGGAAAGGAGGACAACAACAAAAAATCATTAAAAGATTGAAACAAATCTGTACAAATTAAATGACCTCAAAATGGTTGGTCAAAAATAAAAGAAAAGAAGAAGAAAAAAACCCAACTGACCAAATGATAATAATAATAATAATGATGATTATATTAACCACGTTTTTTTTAGCGAATCGTACATACAATCATCATCATCATCATCATTTGGTTTAGGTTATACGAAAAAGAAAAAACAAAAATCAGTTCGGTAAATCATAGTGACGTGACAGCTGTTGCTGATGATAATGATGATGATGATGATGAGAAAAATGATGTTTGTTAAGATGTTTGTTCCAAAAATAACTTTCGTTACAATCCTGGGATACACTTTCAACGAAATAAAAAAACAAAAAACAAAAAAAAAATTAGACATTAACCAGTCTGACTGCTCTGCAGAATGAGTGGTGAAAAAAAAATTGTTATGTATGACCATCACCACCATAATCACCATCATTATTATCATTTGGTTACTGTAGTTTTTTTCATCTCCTACCTACCTAAATGATAATTTGTCCGAATGTTGATCTTTGAACAAAAAAAATATCACCAAAACAAAAAACAACAAATCCCAAAGATCCAAATCGAATGTTTATTTTTCCGAAAAATAAAAATATCGATAGTATCGCCAAACAACGATATCATTCGATACTATCAAAACTTCTTATTTTGAAAATTGAATTTTTTTTCAATATCCGATCACACATTATAACAAGTTTTAAAACGAAAAAAAAGAAAAATCAAATAACCGGTCGTTGTTGATGTTGACCAATAACAACAACAACAACAACTTTATATCTAAAGCTGGCTACTTTTATTTTCATTTTTGTTTTTCAAAGATTTTTGTTTTTTTGCTTTTCTTACCTTTGGGCCATTTTAATATTTATCAAAATCGTGGCTACCTCATTAATGAAACAACAACAACAACAAATTTATTAACTTATGTTATACAACAACAACATTTGCATTACACGTTTCATACATGATCATAATAATTAACATCATCATCATCAGAAACATACAAACACCATCCATGATCTTTGTTTCAAAGAACCCTTTTGGCTATGATTTTAGATTTTTTTTTTTTTTTGGTTCCTCGATCCATTTAAGGATGTTAATGATGATGATGATTATTATCGCAGGCAAAATTTATTTGACTTTTTTTCTTCTTCTTCTTTCCTGTTTGTCCGAAATTCAGACCGTTTTTTTTGTTGTTGGATCCAGTTTTTTGCTTTGAGTGCAACCATTTTCTTTCATTTTTTTGTTTTTTACTTAGAAGAAGGAGATGACCATCGAGAAAAATGGTAGCAATGATTCGGCCAAATGTTTAGTCCAAAAATATCTTTCAACATTCATTTTTGGGTAACAACAGTGTTTGGTAAACGAAACGAGTTCAAGCCATGTTTGTGTGTGTGGACAAAATGTTTAATTTTTTTTCGCTTTTTTCGTTGCCCGAAACACAATAACTAAATAAAAAATCAAAGTAAAGTAAAATAAATTTCATTATGGATCATCAAAAAGGATCACACACATATATCAAAGCATCTAAATCAAGTTTCTCTTTTTCATTTTAATTTATCCCCTACTCTGCTTCAAACCGAATAAGATACACTTTACCGTATCAAATTTTCTATGGATGTTTTCTGTTTTGTTTGTTCCCCTTTTTTAAAAAAATATAAAATTCAATTTTCCATTCTCGGGTTAAACGATATGAAAAAGGCAAATCAATAATTGAACATCTTGCAAAATGTGTAAATAGCCACCGAGGGGATGAAAAACATCATCATCATCATCATCATGATGATCGATGAAAAAACACAAAAATTAATTTGAATTTGAAAGCTTTTTTTCCCGAAAAAAAATCAATCAACAAGAATTTAAAAGCGAAAACCATGTTTTTCAAGTTAACCATGTATTTGTTAACACAAACAGTGAACCTTTCCATAAAATTTTTTTGAAAAAAGTTTATTTCTTTCTTTCCTTTCCTTTCACCGAAAAAAAACAGGTAATTTTTTTGCATGAGAAAAGAGAAAACGACATAGATGTTTATGGCTAACTGATGATGAAATGGTAAGTTATTGCCATCAACAACAGCGAAAAAGAAAATAAAGAAAGGATGTGCCTGTTGTTAATACCCGATTAAAATGATTTGGGATAAAAGGAGAGAACGGATCCAAACAACAAACAACCACATCTTTTTACAGAGGTTGTCAAACGGGAAACACTAACCTAACGGAAAACCATAATAAACTTATTTGACTTGAATGGATTTTTTTTTAAATAAATATTTTTCTGTTTCTGTTGATGATGTGAATCTGAAAAAGTAAAAACCGACCCGAATATCCTGAAGACAACAAGACAAAACATCTTTCTCTCTCTCTGTCTCTCTCCCTCTCTACCGTTTTCTTTCTCTTTTCCTAAAGATGTAACGGTGAAAAAAAAGTCGGACAACATTTATATGAGACGAATTTTTTTCCGTTCGTTCGTTCGTTGTTTTGTTATGTGATGAAATACAAGATGAAAATGAAACAAGTCTGACCAAGTTTTTATTTTTCTCCCCCAAGAAAAATACAGAACAATTTTTTTTGTTGTTTGTTGTCTTTCTGGCCACCACCATCATCCGAAAAAAAATCACATCATTTATTCACATCATTCGTTTTTCTTTCTATCTTTTCTTTTTCCATCTTGTTTTTTTCTTATGTGTTTGTTGATCTCATATTTAGTCTTCGTTTTCATTCGTTGTTTGTTTGATTGGTTGGTTATTGGTTGAATATTACGTGCTGTGTGTAATCAACATAAATGTAAATCATAAACAAAAAAACAATGTCGACAAAATGATCGATTTGATTATAATCGTAGTCAATTCATAAATATCTTTGTCGAAAATTGAATTGAAAATTATCAAACCAAAAAATCCAAAAACCAAATAAAAATCATTAAAAATTTTTCTTTGATAAAAAACAAAACAAAAGATTTCCTTTTCATCATCGTCATCATTAATTGTTTTTTTCAGGTAAGTTTTTCATTATTTTTACTTTTGTTTTCAATTTGATCAATGTGTGATACGATTGATTGAAATAAATTTCCCAGGAATTTTTGTCGAGAACTTTCTCAATTTGTTCCATCAGTATTTGTGTGTGGTGTCACAACTTGTATGGGGGTAATATGATGGATCGAATTTTGTTAGTTTCCCCAGCCAGAAGACAAAAATCAAATAACCTCTTTCCTGGTTGATCTTTTTTTTTTGGTTTTCCCTGGAAAAATAATAAGTGTAAAAATGTGAATATCCATTCATTCATTCGCCTCTTTGATTGATTAGTTTGGATATTTTTTTCTTCTTCTAATTTTGCCTTATTTTTTCAAAATTTGATTTTAATTTTTCTCAATTTTTTTTCTTGCTTTCAAAATAGGAAAATAAAAGGTGGTTTGGCGATATAGGAAAAATCTTCTGGACCCTGGATCTTTTTTATGTGAATAAAAAATTTGTTTTAAACTGAATTCTCGTCATTTTGATTTAATTCTGTGTTTGTTCGTGTGTGTGTGGTACGATCAACATTAACTTTCATCAATCATCCTTTTATATTTCTTTCTCTCTGTTGTGTGTGTGAAAATCAAATTCAATAATAAATCATCTTGAAAAAAAAATTATCAACAACAACATCATCATCATGGAAATTGAACAATTCAATATGACACATTTAGCCATACAGGCAAATGAAACATTAAAAGAATTATTAGAATTTGAAGATACATTAGATTCATTTGTTGGTAATATGACCGGTACGGCTGAATCATTATATACAGCATTAGAATTTTCAAAAATATTTCATTATATTGCTGCTATATTTGGTGTTATTGGCAATTTATTGGTTATTTTAATCTATCTAAAAAATCAACGTATACGTACAGTAACCAATACATATATATTGAATGTAGCAATATCGGATCTACTTTATGTAATTACTGTACCGGTATTTCTTATTTCGATTTGGTCAAATTCATGGCCATTTGGTGAATTTGTATGCAAATTATTATTATCAAAAGGTGCCATACATCGTTTTGCTAGTTCATTATTTTTATTGGTTTTAGTTGTTGATACTTATTTATCAATATTAAAACCAACATTATCACATATTTGTTATAAACGACCAATTAATAGCCGTATGATTTGTATATTAACATGGATTATTTGTATTATTTCTGTTTCGCCTGTATTTTATCATGCATCAACATTTTCCGTACCAAATTCAGAAATAAATCATTGTGATTTATTCTGGACAGGTAGTAGTCGTGAAGCATATATTTGGTTTACAATTATTTCAGCATTTATAATACCAACAATAATTAAAATTTTATTGGCCGTACCATTAATCTATACATTAGCTGGTGAAAATAATACCGATACAGTTGCAAGTGAAGGACAATATCAAGTATTTGCTGAACGTAATAAACGTTCAGCACATTTAATATTGACTGTTATTGTATTTCATATACTTTGTTGGCTACCTCTTTGGATCTCATTGATCAGTGTTAATTTATTACCAATGAATGAAATGCCCGATAATTCTGCAATATTATTTCATATGATTAGTGGTTGTCTTGGTATGGCTAATACTGTATTAAATCCATTCATTTATTTTAAATTATCACCAGAATTTCGTAATGGTTTAGCTGAATTAAAAGAAACATTTTTATATCGTTCAAAAACATCATTATTTTCAAATGGTAGTAATAATGGTGGTGGTGGTATAATGGAAAATTCAACAACACAATCAAATGATAATAATGGTATACAATCAAGTAATAATGGTCAAATTAAATCAAATGATTCGTTTGTTAATAATTTTTTTCCAACAAATGTATTTCAACGTTATGATGAAGAACGTAATCAACAACAACAACAATCATAATCAACAAACATTTGGATCAAAAGTCAACGCACATTTTGTATTTCCAAACATTTACAAACAAGAATTTATATCTTTTTTCTTTAAACAATGATCCACACACACACACATCTTAATCGTAAATTTTTTTAACCCTTTCCACTATGTTTCAATCCATTTCATTTCAAAAAATTTATTTGTAAGAACAAAAAAAAAAGAAAATAAAACAAAACAAAACAAAAAACATTGATGATATCATTATTTACATTTTTCCATTAACGTTTTTTTTTTTCATTATTACTTTTTCATTTTTGTTTTTTCGATTTGCTTTTTTAAAGAAAAAATTATTAAAAATATGCATCATATTTTGTCAATAAACCCGATCCAATAATGTTTTCAACAAAATTTTAAAGAAAAAATCAAGGAAAATCTCTAGAATTAATAAATATTAATGGCAGACAAACTTTTAAATAAACCAAAATTAGCATATTACAAATTTCCTTGACAACAAACAACAAACAAAAAAAAATTACAAATTACAAAACGAACAACAACAACAAAAAATGAATACAATCTTAATGTATAATAAGATCGGATGTTTGTTGAACTTTTCTTCTTTCTGCTTGATGAGGATTGTCTTTTTCTTCTTCTTCTTCTTCAAAAAAAAAAGATTTCGCAAACAATGTTTACTCGATTCGGGTGAACAAAATAGGAAAAGATGTTTATGTTTGTCTTTGGATTTTGGTTCAGTCTTCAGTCTTCAGTTGCTGTTGTTCATTGAAAAACAAAATGATCCCATGAATTTGTTATTATTCATCATCAAATGTTGTTTCAAAAAAAATAAGGTATTCGTGTGTGAAAACTAAACAAAAAATTGGTCCAAAAACAGAAAATGGATTTTTTTGTTTTGTTTTGTTTTGATATTTTGTTTCTTCATCATCATCATTTGACAGATTTTATTTTTTTCCACTCTAATCGTTTCTTCTTCTTCTTTTTCCATGTGAGATATCATTGTAAGTAAGTAAGCAAATAGAAAACGAAACAAAAAAACTTCAAGATTTAACAATTCTGGAATCATAAGATTTTCTTTCATTCTTTTGAAAACGAAAAAAATTCTCATTGTTCCATTCGTTCAAGTAAATTTATACCAAAAATAGTGGGAATCGAATTGATCCCAGCAACAAATACTTCGATCATGTGTTTTCATTGGTAGAACCGATGGATGATTGACAATTTTGAAAACAGAAAAAAAAACTTTAAAAAAAATGATAATAATAAAATAATATTTCCAGAATGTCAACGATGATGTGAACGAATCTTTATTTATTTATTTATTTACATTTGTTTGTTTGTTTGTGTGTCTGACATTCACATTAGCATAAAAACATGGTTTAATTTTTTTTTGAATTTTAAAATTTTTCAAAAAAATTTTCAATTCTACCCCATTGATGAATGTGTGTAATGCGTGTGTGACTGGTTTTTGTCATAAGCAGAAATCGGAATTCATTTTGGAAAAATTTTCTCCGGAAAAGATGGAGGAAAGTTTACGGGAAAAAGAATTTCTTCGATGTTTTCTTTTCAAAAGGAATAAGCAAAACAAACAGAACCAGATCAATTCTTATTCTTTTCTTCTTCTTTTTTTGTTGTAGTTGTAATCAACGTTGAAAAGAATGGGAAAAAATTGGTAAAATCAAATTTTTAAAACGTCAAAAATCAATTTATCATCAATCATCATGGATTTTTCATTGTCTTCCAGTGAAAAATTGAATTTGTTGTTGTTGTTGTTGTAAACAAAATAGAATCCAGACAACAACAACAACAACAACAATTATAGAGAAAAAACTTCTGGTAACAATGACATCATCAAGAAATAGAGAGAAAAAAAAACGTCAACCATAAAATTGATGGAAACAGGCAATGAAGAACCAACAATAGCGAACAAACTGGTTAATCAATGCAGATGTAATGGGAGAAAAGAAAAAAAGAAAAAAAAACTCATCATAGAAATCGATTTGGAATCAATAGGAAAGAAAGAAAAAATCAAATTATTTTTCTATCCTATTGATTCGATCGATTGATTTTTATTATTATTATTATTATTACAATCATTATTGGTATTGGTAATCTGATTTTTCTGATTGTCAAAGTTGTCCATCACAGCCACAACCACGACAAAAAAAAATGAATATAAAAAAAATATTCTGGTCAATCAAATTATGATGAAGATGATGATGTTAAATGCAGCGATCCGAAAAAAAATTCTGCATTCTGGTATTTTCATTTTACAATTCTGATTCTCACTTTGCTGTGTTTTAGTGGTTTGTTCTTCATCATCATCATCATCATTGTGCTTGAGAAAGAAAAAAATTAATCAATTTTCCTTGAACAAAAAAACTTTTTGAATTTTTCATCGTTTGTTTGTTTGTTTAACTTGATTTTTCCAGAAAATGAATCTGGCAAATCAACCAAATCAGAAATGATGTGTGTGTGTGTGTGTGTGAATAATTCAAATAATCATCGTTGAGTGTTGATTGGTTAATTTTGTTTTTGGTTGGAAAAATTAAGTTTTGTTGTTGAAAAATCCCCATAGCAACAATTAATCGTTCGTATTGCACAATCATAATCATTTAATTAAATGAATTTTGTTTTGGAAAATTTTTTCTATGGATGGTTTCATTCCTGGTTGCTGTTTTTTTTTGCATTTCTGGTTCTTCTGGTTGTTCATTTGGAATTTAATTTAAAATTCTGTTCTCGGTCTGCTCTGTTTAAACAACAACAACCAAAAAAAGAAAGAGTTAAACATCATTAGAGAGAAAAAACCAACCATTTTTGTTGTTTTAAAAAAATGATACAGTTTAAGTGGAAAAAAAAGTGAAATTCAAGGAATGTGTTTCTGGGTTAATTTTTTTCGACCAGAATTTCATTCAAAACCAGAAATTAAAAAAATGAAACAAAAAAACAGAAATAATTAAAAAGAAAGAAAATTTTTCGGAAAATCAAAAAACCATAAACACTTGAGAATGAAGAAAGAAAATAAGAAATTGGAAAAAATCATAACCGAAATTTCAGTTCGTTTGTATCCAAAAAAAGAAATTTTCATTTTTTTTCACTTCTTTTCAATCAAATTGCACAGGAAAAGCACATCTTGATGATCGGAAACTTTTTTTTTTGAAACAAAGAATTTTTTCTCCAAAGTTTTTTTAAGAAAAAAAATTTCCTGTTCAGTCCATTTGAAACAAACCAATTTATTCTTTCAATTGTTTCAAAATGTATACAATGTGAACAAACCAAAAACAGAAAACACTAAAGAATCATAACCAGAATCAGAATTTTCAATAAATTCTATATATACAAAAAGATATGAATGAATTTTCTTTGGGAAAGACATGCGTAACAATCGATAACGATTCACAAAGCGCATGTCTCGGTGTGAAGAATTTTACTTTTTTTTCGTTGAATATAAAATGAATAACCGACGGTTATTTTCAATCGTATTTCAGTAAACATGATGACATCGTTTCGAAAACACACACACACCATCATCATCATCATCATCTAATGATTCAATTCCGTATCATCGATCGACATCGACATAACATTCTAATGAATCCAACAACACAAAAAAAAATTTGATTTTGAAATTGAAATTCCATCATCACGTTCATGAAAGAAAATTGGTAAAGGTGGTAATGGCAAGATAGATTGTGGTTTTTCTTTCTTTGATTATTAGAAACAAAAAAAAATAAAATAAATTGAATGTCTTTGGTACCTTTCGTGACCAGAATAATCCTTTCATTCGTTTTTTTTCACACTTTCATTATCGTCATCATTATCATCATCGACATGTTATAGCTTGAAGTAAAAGCAAAATAGAAAAAAAAAGAAAAATTCAATGATTCTTTTAAATAATGATTCTTGGTGCGTGTGTGTAATGGAATTCATTTCGCTTTTTTCACACATCATTTACCATCATACACCATCTGTCACCAGTTTTTTTTGTTTGAAAGAAAAATTTAAATTTTAAAATAATTTAAATTTGTGAATCTTTTTCTTTGTTTTTCGGTGGTTATTGTCAAAATTGTTCATCTGTTTGTGTTTGGTGTTTCATAAATGCTTTTCTTTGAAATACGTGTGTAAAAGTGGATTCTGAAAAAAGTTGAATAAAGATGTAATTTTTCTTTAGTTTCTTTTCCTTGTTATAATAAATTATTATTATCGTTGTTACTTACTTACTTACTTTTATTTCTGTTAAGTTTCTGATTACGAAATTTTCTATTTTTTTGTTTCTTCCAGGGTAAGTTAAAATTGATATCATTATCATTATCAAACAATCAAGAACGGTCGAAACAATCGATTATATCGATATTGATATATATCAATTTCACAATCTAAAGTGTTTTTACTTGTAATGGTTTCCCTAAATATGAATAAATTATTACAAAAATGAATCCATTTAATCAAGGGAAAAATAATAATGATTATATGGAAAATGATAAACGATCATATGATGATTATTCGGGAGGAAAAAAATTGATGAATAAAATTGAAACTAAAAAAAAAGTATGGAAGTGTTAATGAGGAAGAAAGAAGAAAAAAAATTTCCAAAAATCAATCATTGCCAGGAATATTTTCTTTTTTAAAAAATATGGAAATTCCGGAAAATTTCTCATCATTTTTTTCTTCGAATATCAATGATAATGATTTTTTTTATTAAAACAGAGAAAAAAAAATCCTATACCGTTAAATAGGATTGTATATAAAACAAAAATAAACACAAAAAATCAATGAATGAGAGAAAAAAAGAAAAGAAAAAATGATAATGATGATGATGAATAAATTAACATTTACCTTCATTTATTGTGTTTTTTTATTTATTTCTGGTTTTTGGTTGGTAATTCTTCAGAATTCAATAGCCAGAAGAAGAAGAAGAAGAACAAACGTTTTGTTTTGTTTTTCGTTGTTTATTTTGCCATTATCCGAATAATAATTTCTATTAATAACTTTGGTTCTGGAATCGTCTCTCTCTCTTCAATAAACAACCAAATATCCAAATAGATATACATTCATGCATGATCAAATTCTAATTTGTTAAAAAACTGTCAAATTTTTTATGAACAACTTTTTGTCAATCGATTGTTTACTTGTCCATTATGATTATGGAAAATTTTTTTTCTCTCTTTGTTGTTGTTGTTGTAAAAAAAAAAATTCTTTATTCAAGAATTTTTCAACAACAAAACACACACACACCAGACACACACATCATCTATTTGACACAATGCAAATGCAATACATTGGATGAGAAGAGAGAGAAAAAAAATATGAATAATAATTTTTTTTCAAATAAAATAATTTTCAAATATTTGGAGAGAAAAAAAAATGAAAATGAAATTCTTGGTAAATAAATTCTTTCTCTGATTTTTTTTCTATTCCATCTCTCTCTCTCTCTCTCTCTCTCTCTCTCTCTCTTCTTTTCACATTTTTTTTATTTACAATTTTTCCAATATGCAAATATTACATAAATAAACATTTAGATTCTAGAATGTCTGACTGAATGACTGACTGAATGACTAGATATGACGTAAATACTAATTTTATCGAAAAAAATACAAAAAAAAATACAAAATATTGAATCACCATCAAACGAGGAAAAACAATTTTTTGGTCCAAACATTTGTGAATCGATCAATCACAAATTGATTTTAATAAATTCTGTTTTCTTTTTTTTCTCTGAATTTGTTTGTTTGTTATTGTTGTTTTTTATCAATAGTTTCAAAGTTGTATATAAACAGCAAGTTGTAATGTCTATTTTTGTTGTTATTGTCGAAATAGGTAAATCTAGATTCTATAGAATTAAAGCAGTGTAGCCAACTTTTTTTCTTTCACTATATGTTAATCATTACGGATCACGTAGAAGAACGAACGGAAAAAAATGAAAATCTTATTATAATTTTTGAGAGTATATTTATCATAAAAAAATGGGCTATTTTAACATAAATATGATTAGAAAATTTTTTTAAAATTCTGTAATATTTCCTGTTTTTCTTCCTGTTGTTGTTTTTTCTCTCATCTTTAGCTTTATGAAATTCAACACAAAAAAATATATAACTCTAATAAAACTAACTAATGAGATGTTATAATGAGATACAGTTGTTGTTTGAATTTTTAAATTGTGTGCATAGAATTAGGTTGGTTGTTTGGTTTTTCTGACCGAATGGCATCCATGAAAATTTCAAAAACTTTTTCCATTTTGCACTTGTGTGTGTGCTTTTGAGATTAACAAAGATTAAGTTTCTGTCGTTGTTGTTGTTGTTGCCCTCAGACTTATTGAATTTTTTTTCAATTGTTCCTTATCAGATGCACTGAATAAATAAATAAATATGAATAAGGGAAAAAATTTATTTTCGTGGGAAGCGAATCTCAAGGGGAAAATATCTGTTGATTGATTGATTGATTTGAATTTTTAAATTGTCAAAATTGAAATGATAAATCCGATGATAATGATGATAAGCGATTAAAACAATAAGTTTAAAATTTAATTACAATGTGAATGATGATGATGATAATAGAGAGAAAAAAAAACAAATTTTCTTAACCCCTTGTTTCCCTTCGTATCGGGAGAAAAATATACACAATATTGTACTTACAGTGATGATAATCATTTTGTTTTTCTTCAAAGAAATAATAATATTCATAAAGGAAAAAATACCAGAATCTATCATCATCGAAAATCATTAATGTTTTTCACTTTTCTCTTTTGTCTGACAACAAGGTACAATCACCAAGCTAGAAAAAAAGAAAAAGAAATGATCATTAACCATGATCATAGCAACAAAAAAAAACATGGTTGTTCATTTTTGTTTACCTTGATTGATCATCGATTGATTATTTCATCAACAACAAAGACAAATATGATTATATTTCATCACTCAAAAAATGATTGATTATTGAATAATAATTTTAAAATTCAAATTAGATGATTACAAATAATGCTTCAAAAAATGGTATGTTCCATATTGATTTTTTCATCCAAAAATTTTCATCAAAAAAAAACATGAACGAAATTGAGAATTTTCAGATATGGACATCATTATTCAATCTACATTCATTATAGCAGCCGTTTCTGCATTTGAATCATCCGAATCATCATCATCATCATTGTTATTATTGTTATCATCAGTAACCGAAATGGATAATTTTACAGTGATTATTGATGAACCAACAACAACAACAATAACAACAACGACAACAATTATACCGGCAATACCTGAATGGATTGAAACAATGCGCTATATTAAAATCAGTTTATTAGCCTTAATGTTTATATTAATATTTTGTGGTAATACATTTGTATTGGTTGCATTAAATGTAAGTTTTTTTTTGGTTTTTCATTAAATAAAAATTCTGGTAGTGTTTTTTAATTAATTAACAAAAAATGGAAAAGATAAGAAAGAGTTAGAAAATGAAAAAGAAAAGAAAAGAATTTGGCAAATGTCAAAGTTGGATTGTGAAAAAGAAAAATCTATTTTGGAGATAATGTTAATTCAGGGTTATTTATTTTTTTTCTCTCATTAAACATTTATCAATTATAAATGTATCTTTTTTCTCGTAAAAAAAATTCTTTCGGAAAACTTTCTTTGTTTCTCTTTTTGTTTCCCTGATTTGACAAAACATCTTTCTTTTCTTTTTTTCAAAAACAAAGTTAATCAAATGAACCAAACACGGTACATTTGACATTACTGACCGAATTTGAAAATAACGTTTTTTTTTCTTATTAGCTAAATGCAACATCTTTTTCTTGCTTTGTATCGTTCCGGTTGACGACTGACTAGAATAAGAAATGAAATGAAAAAACAAAAGAAAAAAACAAACACCTACACACCCACACAGTAATATAACACACACCGTTTATTCATATGAATAAAAATAGTGAGAAAAACATTTTTAACCTATTTTTTTCATGTTGTTGTTGTTGTTATTATTCGTAAAAGAAAAAGAAAATTAATAGGATGTGTTTCAGCAAAAAAATTCAACAACGTTTTGGTACCATCTTCCTCTTTTTTGTCCTTAAATTTTTGGGTAAAAATAAAAAATTTATGCAAATGTAAAGTTTGGTCATCATCAATTCATAGAATGTGTTCCCTAGTGTGTGTGTTATTTGTGTGGTTAGGGATGGGGAATAGAAACAGTGTGAATAAAGTGTTAATAAAAACGGAAATTATTTTTCACTAATTTTGAATTTGAATTCAAAGTTTTTTTCTTTCTTTCTTTCATTCAAATCAAATCAAATCAAATCAAATCAAATCAAACCGAAAATCTTTTTTGCTGAATGTTTTTTTAGATTCTAATTTTAGATTTTTTTTTTTTTTGAAACACAAAACAAACTAAAGCAAAGCAAAAAGTATACCATTTTTGTTCCTAAGGGTGATAATAAATTTTTAAAATGAAATTTGATTTTTATTTTTAACTTTTTTTTTTGCTATTCCCCAATTCAGTGCAAGTGTGTTTTTTTTTTTTGTTTGTTTGGTCTATATATCGCGATATAACCGGAAATTATTTTTTCGTTGAAAATTTTTCAGTTCAGAAAAAATTATTCCGGAAACTTTTCCTCCTTTTATTTCCATTATTGAATGATTTTGTTGTTGTTGTTGTTGTCCATCCACTATTGTGAAGTTTCCCATTACCTATGATTTGTTTGTTTGTTTCGTTTCAATATCCAGGACTATGTAAATAGATTAATGGTCCATTACAAACGATGGTGGAATGTAATGATTGAAATATTTTACAATTAATTTTATTCACATTCAATGATTATCAATACAAAATTGTTTCAGTGAAAATTCCACCAAAAGAATTTCCTTTGAATCATTTTTTTCTTCTTCTTCTTTGCTCGTCAATTTCATTGTAAATGTAGGAAAAACTATAGGGAAATTCCAATATTTGGATAAACTTTTGATTCTTGAAGAAAATTGCATCCGTAAGCTAAATAGACAGGAAAAAAATAGTAAACAAAAAAGAAAATCTTTGAAAATTTTTTTTCTGCACTATCATCATTCATTGACTCTCAAAGAATCAAATGATTGTTGAAAGAATTCGAAACATTTCAAACAAAAAAATGTTTCCATTTAAATATCTATTGCCCGAAAATTTTCTAGAAATCTGAAACAACAACTTGTGATTTCTGGAAAAATTTCTTGATGAAAGAATTTGCATAATGATTATCACCAAAAGGAGTTACAATAAAAACAAAACAAAAAAAAATTACCGGAAATTTGCTCGAATAAATGAAAATCGAAAGAAGAAGAAACATACACGAAATTTTCTAATTTCAATTGAAATTGAATACATTTTCCAGGTTATTCAGGTGTGCAGGTGTAGGTGTGTGTGTAGGTATATTTGTCATGGCTAACAATAATCATTAATGATTATTACCTGACCCTAAAGGTTTTATTCATTGATGAATTTCAAGTTTTTTTTCACCTGAATTATCATTACTTTTCTCTTTTCTCTGAACAATAATTCATTTTGTTCGTGCAGAATATTGAGTAGAATTTCATATTTTTATTCGTATTTCTGGTTAATGATAAATGTTTTTCTTTTCTTTTCTTCTTGTTTTTTCACACATTTTTTTCTGATTAATCATTTTCTGTTTCGTTTTTTTTTCTCGTTTGTTTGCTCAAAAGAATCGAAAACTACGCAAAAATCGAATGTATTTCTTTTTGGCTCATCTATCTATTGCTGATTTAGTCACCGGGTTTTTTAACGTATTACCACAATTAGGTTGGGAAATTGCACGTCGTTTTTATGGTGGAAATATACTTTGTAAAATGATTAAATTTTTACAAATACTTGGTCCATATTTATCATCATATGTATTAGTTATGACAGCTATTGATCGTTATCAAGCAATTTGTCATCCATTATCCAATTCATTAGCACATACAAGACGTTCACGTTGGATGGTTGCTTGTGCATGGATTATGTCATTATTATTTTGTACACCACAAACATTTATATTTAGTTATCAAAAAATTTCTGCAACATCAGATGATTATGAATGTTGGGCAACATTTCCGGTAAGTATTTTTTGATTGATTGATTTTCATTTTGATTTCACACAAACAAACACCTATAGCAATATAGCAGATTCAGATTCAATCATTTTTGTTTATTCATTCCAAAATGGAAAATTCATTCGTTTTAATCAACCAAATCGAATTCAAACAAAACTTTGTGGTTATTTTTATTTTTGAGACGAAAAAAAACCCTTTGAGATTTGATTGTAGAATAGAATTCATTCAATAAATAAATACTGATTGGATTTACCCAAAAAAGAAAATAAACGATTCAGAAATTGAAAACAAAATCGGATTTTTGTTCAAGTTTCTTTCGATACCAGATCGATTTCACTATATCATACGTAAAATGGCTGACGTATAGAAAAAAAAGAAAAATTCTTTTTCATTATTTCAATTGTCAAAGTGCATTTGTTCGTTCCAATTGTACAATGCCAATATTTTCAATAATGAAGCCATACTGAAACTGAAACTTTTCCTTTTCTTTCTTTTTTTGATGAATGAATCAAAATTAATTAAAATTAAATCAATTTCACATGAGAAAATCAAGTTCATTCACTGGATTTTTTTGTTTTTGTTTTTGTTATGGTAGTTCACGTGTATTATGATTTTGATTTTCCTCAATTGATTTCGAAAATAATTCAAAGAATTATTATGTTGTTGTTGTTGTTTGGCCAGATTCTTGATAAACAAAAAAAAAAAATGTTGATTCGAATTCTATTTCGACACACAAATGCCAAAGATGGGTCGAAATTGAAATCGAATCTTTTTTTCCCGAATATCAAATATCCACCAAGCATCGGTGTTTACATTCTTATTCTTTTTTTGTTTTCATAATGATCACATGATTTTATGTTTTTTTTTTGCTTTGTTTGATTACTTTGTTTCTAACGAAAATGATGAAAGAAAAAACCAAAACAAAAGAAGAGAAGAATATTATTATTATTTTCTTTAGTTAAAGAAAAAAAATTTGAAAACTTTCATCATTATTTTTTCATTTTCAGTTCTGTGTTTTCGCTCTGTGTGTTTGCGTGTAAATTTTCGCCATTTTTTTTGTAATAATAATGCAAATGTTTGGTTTATCATCATCATCATCATCTTTGGGTGTGATGTGATGCATATGTGCATTCTAAAACCCAAAAGCAGATACCAAGAATCAGAACAAAAACAAATGAATGATATTGCAAACCGAAAAATGAATGAATGAATGCAGAACCCCGAAAAAAAAACCCGACAAAAAAAACCCAAGAGAATGAGTAAATATGGGAAATGAAACCAGGAATGAAAAACAGGAAGAAAAATGATTGAAATGAAATCAGATGCATGATATAATTCATATCAGCATCATCATTATCAATGTCATCACATTTTAAATTAAAAAAATAGCACTGAACAGAATGTGAAATTTTCAATCATTTATGAAAACAGCGAACTGGGTAATTCTTTCTTTTGATGAATAAAAAAAAACAGAAAATACAAAGTTTTTTTCTCTATTTTTTTTGCACAGATAACCTTTTTTTTCTGTTGATATCAAGATGTCAAGCATATAATAATTTCATTTTTGTTGAAATTTGTCATGTGTGATTAACAGGAAATTAAGTGGAACAAAAAAAAATTCGAAACCAGATTCTGAATTCTGTCTGTTTTTTTTTCCAGACATGGAAAAAAACAAACATCAGCTTGGATAATTTGATGTTATTATTGATTTTGGTTTGTTTTTCGACATTGTTCTTATCGCGTTACGCATTATTGATTAGTGGTTTTGTTGTTTGTTGTTTATTTTTCATCCAGATATTGATTACCCCGAAAAAAATTTCAAGCTGTCGCCCAATGACTTGATCATGTAGAGATTGTGGCCAAGTATTTTGTTGTTGCTTTGATTATAAAATAATGATGATGATGGAAATTTTACAGGCAAAATTCTTTGAAAAAAATTTTCAAAATGGATTCATAATGATTTCATTTAAATTTTTCGGTTATAGTTGATTATTTACTCATTTCAGGATTTCATTATTGATATATATTGTTTTGTGTTTGTATTTGTTTTGCTTCAATCTTCAATCCGACAAAATTTTTACGTCATTCGTCAATATTGAAATGAGTATGGCTTCAAGGAATCAAGGCTCTCTCTCTCTCTCTCTCTCTTGGGTGATAATAACACTGAAAAAACTGGCTATTTTTGCTTTTCCTTTTTATTATTGTCGTCATCGTCGTCGATTATTGTAAACAAAACAAAAATTTGAATCATTAAATTCTTATCCGAATAATTGTGTAGGGGTGCATATGCGTTTGTGTTTGTGTTTGTGTTTGTAAACACACAAAAAAGCAAAAGATGAATATTAATTACACTTTTCTCTTTTTTTTCCATCTCAAATAAAAAAAAACAAACAGGAACCATATATGACAAAAATGTATGTAACATGGTATACTGTCAGTGTATTTATCGTACCATTCATCATATTAACATGGACACATTATTTTATTTGTCGTGAAATATGGTTAAATTGGCATTATAAACGACAAAGTTTATTAATTAAACCTGAAACAATACATAATCAACAACAACAAAATGATACCATAAATAGAACAAAAAAATCTTATTCAATATCATCATCATTAGGTGGTAGTGTTAATCAATTTATACATCGTTTATCAAATGTTGGTATTAATGATAATAATAATGATAAAAATCCTGATTTGGGTATAAATTCTATTGATAATCATTCATTGACAATAACACCGCCAACAACAACAACAAAATGGTATGGTCAATCAAGACTAACAACACCAACAACAAAATTTGCTTGTCGTCGTTTATTTTTATTTAATCGAAAATCATCAATATCATCATCATCATCAAATGAATCATTTACTTGTTCATCATCGTTGCCTTCATCAAATCCGGCCATGAATCATCATCATCATCATCAACAACAAATTATATCAAATCGATGTCCAATTCATCCGGATCATTATCAATTTCGTCATAATAATCATAATAATCATTCGCAACAACAACATCGAACATTTTCATTAAGAAATCCATCAATATCAATAACCAAAGATAATGAACAAAAACAAACAAATAGATTGATTGAACAGAATGGTAAGTTTAATGATGATGAAAAAATGAAAAAATCTAATAAATATTCATCATGGAATCGTTTGAAAAAATTTAAATTTTTCTCTTTTTTGCGCCATAGAATCAAAAAATGAATCGAAAAATCCGGAACAAAACAAATCTAAAACTGTACATAATCATCATCATCAACAACATTATTATTTAAAACGTTCAAAATCAGAAAGTGAATTAATGTATCGACGACAGGAAAAAAAATTAAAACATTTACAATATTATCGTTATCAAAGTGAAAAAAATCGACGATATTCTAATCGAAAACCATCGCTTACATTATTATCTTCATCATCATCATCATCATCAATATCATCAATATCCACCGAAAATGATCATCAAAATAATAATGATCGCTGTGATGAACGAAATAATCGAAAACGTAAACGTTATCGTCGTAATTCTATACAAATAATTCCATTGAATAAGAATTCAAATAAAATTCAAACATTATCAAAATGTTTAGATCAAGAACAACAACAACATTTGATGACAAGATCAATATCACAACGACGACCACCACCACCACCACCACCACGGCCACCATCATCATCAATATCATCACCATCAAATCAAATTCAAATGACAATACAATGTATTTGTTGTAAACAATGTTGTCCAAATTGTCAATTATCATCGAATCATCATCATCAACAACGAAAACATTCAATGAAATCAAATCCAGATTCTTCATTATCATCAAAAACAATGTCCTATCAATGTACTACTAATGGTAATATGTTGATGAATGGAACAAAACATTCAAAATTTATTAATCAAAATCAAAATATTACAAATGAATATGATGAACATGAATCATTTGATATAAAGAATGCAAAATCTGATCCAAATGTTTCATCATCATTATCATTAATAAAGTTAAAGAATGCCACAACAACACCGTTACAATCACAACAACAATCATCAACATCTGTTTCGATTGATAGTAGTAATAATAATAATAATGTTGTAAATGTATTTGTTCCACGTAATTATCATATCAATACAGGTGGACAACCAAATAAACGTATGAGTAATCCACGTATACATTCAATGCATGGTTTAACACGTGCAAAAATTAAAACAGTTAAAATAACATTGGTTGTTATTACATGTTATGTTTTATGTTCATTACCATTTATATGTGTACAATTATGGGCCGAATATTGGCCAAATGCTCAAGAAAGTCCAATATATTCAGGTATGTATTTGATTTTTGTTATTTTTTTTCCTTTTTTTTTGTTTTGTTTTTTAATGAAAGTGAAAATCCAATTTAAAAAAACATGAATTTTTTTTCCACCGTTCGTAGGAATATGTTTTTCCACACACCCATGCATATATTGTGTGTTTCCTTTTCCATTGTTTCTTTCTCAAAAAAAGAATACATTGTTATTCAATGTTATCAGGAACACGTTTTAAAAAAAACCATTTAGTTCTTGTTTTACAGGCCATTTAAATCATTTAGATATTTTTTTTTGCTTTGTAACATTAATTTAATATTACTATGAAAAAAAGTGAAAATAAAAAACTACACTGAATGAATATTATTTCCGTTGTTTTATTGTAACCTTTTCTTTTTTGAATGTTGTTGTTTTGAAAGTTATATACATGTAATGGAATTTTCGCACAGATTAGGCAAATTCTGTTGATCATTATTTCCATTTTTTTCTTGTTGTTGTTGTTGTTATTGTTATTGTTACTTGGTTTTGGCTTTAAAGTGGAACATATTTATGAATAATTATAGACCAAAAATTCTGTTTTGAACGGGCAAAGATTTTTGTTTTTGTTGTTGTTGTTGCAAACATTAATCAAATCTATTCGATAAAGATTATGCAAATGGATTTTTTTTCTTTCCTTTTCTTTCATATCCACCATATGAAAATGACTTATGAAATTTTCTTATTTTTCATTATCAAACATCATAATTATTTTTCGTACAAATCTAGTTAAATGTTTGTCTTGAATCAAGGATTAAAAAAAAGTTGGTCGTCAACCAAGGCATTTCAAATTCGTTTCAATTTCGTTTCTTTTTTTTGTTGAAAATTTCATGATTCCGTCTCTGATTCTGATAAGATCATACTACACAAAAATCATAAATAATAATCTTATTTCGAATATTGTGTAAAAAAAGAATTATAAGAAATGAAAATGAAAAAAATGAAATCATTGAAATCAAGAATCACACAAACAGAAGAAAAAGCGAGAAAAATATAAAATCCGCTTATAGAAGCAGAAGAAATTCTTTTTCATCTTCACTGATTAACAAATTTTTTTTTCTTTTCATTCCGCCTTTATATAGTCCATGCAATACAATTTCGGGTTTACATTTCCGTTTGATTGATTGATTGAATCGATTGATTGATTTTGATTTCAAATTTCAATAATTTTATTGATTTCATTTGATGTTTATATTTGATGAAAACAACAACAAAACAGCAACAACAACAACAACAAAAACAATAATCAAATTCAAATTCTTTCATTTCGTTGAAAAAATTTCTTTCATTTCATTTCATTTCAAAACAAAATGAAAATGTAATTATTGTTTTGTTGGGAAAAAAATGTGTTTTTTTCGTTTAAATTTTCCATTAATCATCATTATTCATTGTTGAAACGGAATATTTTTCCCATTTTATTTACATTTAAATAATTTAGTTTTTCTTCTTCAAAAAAATGTTGTTGTTGTTATTCATAACAAAGTGTTAACCAAAATGTGAAACAAAAAGATTGAAGAATTTTTCAAGTTTTCGAGTTGATCAAAAGAAAAGTCAAAAAAAAAATTATCACCCAGTGTAATGAGCTTAATAATAAGGAATCTTTTGTGTATGTGTTGGATGTATTAAGATGTTTCCATTTTTTTTCCATTATAATGTATTTTCTTTTCTTTTTTTTTTAACAAGATTCTTATTTACTTAACTTTTTTTGTTTGTTTTGAATAACTTTGCCGACCTTGTTGAAGAAGATTTTTTGTTTTCGAGTTCAAGCCTGGTGTTTTTTTTGGCTGTTATTTTCCAAAGCCAATAAAAAAATCTGTATACCAACTTTGTGTTTTCTGAATTGTATCTTGAAACAATCATCTATGTGAAGAAAGAAAGAAAAAAATGATAGTAAAAAATGAAAATGGGCACGGAATTTTCATTTTCGTTCACTGTTTCATTTTCATCTCTTTTGCTAATTTGCTTATATAAAAAAAAAACTTTCATTTTGTTTTAACATGTTGATAAGAATGAAGTGTGTGAGTGAAGAAAAAAAAATGAAAATAGATTACTTTTATGTGAATGTTAATCTTGAAGAATTGTTCTGTTTTGTTGTAAATTCTTCTTTCAAATATTTCGTAAGCCAATTTCTCATTGTTGAAACCGGACCGGAAAAAAAGAACGGTTATTTTTCTTCTTTTTTTTAACACGAGAAGAAAAAATTTTTTTTGGATAGAATAAAAACCACGTTAGTCGATGAAACCATTGAAACATAAATGGATTCCATGTCTATTCAAAAAAAGGATCTAAATGTTTGTTTTTTTCATTGAAACTAAATGGGTTTTTCTCTCTCGCTTTGGTTTCGTTTAAAATTTAAATTTACACATCATAAAATGATGAATATATCCATGAAAATAAAATGTGGCTAGTTTAGCTGATGAATGTGTATTTATATAAATCCCATAAATACCCAAATGTTATTGGCTATTTTTGAATATGTAATGTTGTTTTTCTATTCATGCTTTTTTTGTTGTTGCAAAATATTTAAATTTTTTCATCAATGTTGCAGCATTTTAATCGTTTTTTGAACTTTCTCTCGTTTATTTACAAGAATTTTGGTGACATTTTCATATATTCATTTTCGATTTCAGAATATTATTTGTGCATGAATAATTTCTTTTAAAATTTGCTGATGAAATAGAAATAAACATTTCAAAAAAAATAATAATAATTGAATATCGGGATCCAATTGAGTCGAATCGCTTCGGAATAAAACTTGATAAACACTTGAGTTTATTATTTTCTTTCACAAATGATTTTAGAATGAAATTTTCTGATTCAAATTTGAAATCAGGAAATTTTTTTTTTTTGCATCCACATTCTTGACATTATAATTTTCCTTTTTTTTCATTTCAATGTTTAGACTATTCTTATCACCGACACACACACACATAAGTGGAAAATGAAATATCAAAATCATCATCATCAGTAAATGTGTCCAAAAAAGTATATTTGTGTGTCATCATCATTTATACGGTCGAATGACAATATGTTTCTTTATGTCAAACAAATTGAACAAAAAAAATTCTTAATAGACATTTATTAAAGCGTAAAACGTATTTGGTATTTGAAAAAAACTTTTTTTTTTTGTTAAATTCTGTTGCTGATATGATAAGTGTGTGTGGGGGTAGTGTGGGTGGCTTAGAAAAGGTTTCATCCAGATATTCATGACGATTCTCGGAAATTCAAAATGCAAATAAGTTCAAAATTGAATTCAGGTTTTAAATTTCATCATGTATTTATCTTTCTGCTTATCTTTTTTTCTTTTTGTTCAGCAAACAAATCACTTGACACTTGTTTGTTAGTTTTTCCGGTAGAAAGAAGTAGAAAACTCTTATCTGCTTTCTCTTAGATGCATGGTGTTATGTGTGAACAAATTTTCCCAAAAATCTTTCATTTATCCGGTTTTCGTTTTTTATTAGATTCTTTTCCTGGTTTTATTTATTTATTTATTTATGTCCATCATCAATAAATCTGTTTGTTGTTCATTTTGTAAATGTTTTGTTGCATCACTGTATCTGTGTTTTTCTTTATTTCTTTTTTCAAAGGACAAATCTTATCTTTATTTGATTCAATTAATTAATTTGCTGCTGTTGTTGTTGTTTCCCAATTCTGGACATTTCGGACATGTTTTTTATTATTTTCCCAGTTTTATTTTTTGGATTCCCGAGAATGATAATAATAATAAAAATGAAATAATTACCAAACCAAAGTAATAATGGAAAATTTCTTTTTCTTTCTTTCTCTTTTTTTTTCTTCTCCCAAAAACAGGTCCAATAATTGCCATATTAATGCTATTGCCAAGTCTTAATTCCTGTGTTAATCCTTGGATTTATATCTATTTTAATCCAAATTTAATAACATTATTTTGTCAATTTTTTAAACGAAAATCATCATCCGATGAACCATTATCAAAAAGTGGTGCATTATTGAATAATAATAATCCGGGTGGTGGTGCTGGTGGTGGTGGTAATGGTGGTGGATTTAAGGCAAAATTTCAAAAACATTATCGACAAACATCCGAATCACCTGATTGTTCATTAAGTTTAACCGATAATACAACAACAACATGTCATTCAACACGTTTAGTTACAAGACAAAATGATTTTTTAGTTGATATGAATAAACCAGGTGCTGGTTTTCGTTATATGGCAACAAATCGTTTAAATTTACCATCAATTACTTATCATCATCATCATCATCATCATTATAATAATAATAATCATTCAAATCATCAAAATCATTCGAATCATAATCCAAATCAATCCAAAATAAACAATGTTAATCAAAGTATTTCAATGAATAATCTGGTTCGTTATTGTAATGATGATCAAAATCATATTGCTCAAAATAATGATAATAATAACGAACAACAACCACAACAACAGCATATTGATGATAAAGAATCGATCGAATTTGTCGATTTGATCTTGGTTAATGAAAACAACAACAACAATAATCCAACAATTGATCGATCGATTGTAATCAATAATGATGTCTTTGGTGTTGATAATGATGATGATGATGATGATAACAATAAATGTCATCAACAGCAACAACAACATGATTCACAGCAAACAAAAAATCAAATAAATCAGTTAAAAATAAAAAATCATCGGTTAAATTCATTGACAAATCGATTAGATCGTATGTGGTTGAAATTATCATCAAATAAAAATAATGGTAATAATCGAACAACATCGACAACAACAAAAACAACAATGATAATGATACGATCAAATAAACAACAACAAAAACAACAGTATCCGGCAAAATCATCACAATTACGATTATTGAACAAAGCAACGAATGTTGAATGTGTTGTTAATGATGATCAATATATTGTATAGGATTATTTTTTGTTTTGTTTCGAGAATTTCAATGTCCCATCAAACCAAAAACCAAACCAAACCAAAAAAACCAGTCCAGTGTCTTATTTTTTTCAATAAAATGTCTTTAATTTTATTTCAAATACTGTAAAGAAAAAAAATTTAATTTAATTTTTGAAATAAAAAAATAAATAAAACAGATAACAAACAAACCGTGAAAAAAAACTTATTTTCAATGACAATTACGACGAACAGATCAATTGAATTTGAATTCTTTTTTTTATTCGATAAACAAACAGAAATGTGGGGATCGATTTGATTTGATTTTATTCAAACAAACAAAACAAAACAAAATTTCGAAATCATAAATCAAAGTTTTTTTTTATTTGGTGAAAAAAAAAGTTTTTTTCGTTTCTGGTTGAAACGACAGAATTCGATCGAATGTTTGGAAAACAGTGAGGAAAAAAAATTCGTTCGAATAATGAGTGAGCATGCGTAATTCGAAAGAATATTATCCAAGAAGTGAGAAAATGTGAAAAAAATGAGAAATAATGATGAAAGAAAAGAGTTTTATTATTCGATTTTTTTTTTGAAATTAAAATTTACAAACATGTGAAGCTTATTATAAATCAAAAACACGTATATATTGTATATTTCGGGGGGTTTTTTTCATATACTTTCATATACACAAAGAATCATCATTCAACAAAAAAAAAATCGAAAACGAAGACATAAATCTTTCGCTAAATTCAAATGGTGTGAACGTTGGTTATTATATAGTTGGTTATTGTTGTTGAAAAAAGAAAAGAAATGACTAAAACTTTCAAATAAAAAATGCCTGAAGGTAAATCAGAAGAAAGAAAGAAGAAAGAATCTTACGAAATATGTTTTGAAACCAATATATATTGAAAAGATAAAACTATAAACATCTTTGTTTGTTTATTGTGGCTTATATTTTCTTTCTTTAAAACATTTGAAAATTGACATTCAAAAATTCAAATTCACAATACAAATCAACATAAAAATCAGTTTCGATCATTGGAACCAATGAATGAAAATCAAAAAAAAAAAAAACTTTCATCAACAAACTAAACCTATCCGAACATCAAATGAACTCAGCCCGGATAGAAAGAAGAAAGTCAATTAATTTTCGTTTATGGTGTGTTTTCTATACACATCTGGGCTCCATTTGCTGGTGCATTACCAACAACAACAAAACAGAATTTCATTCAATTGAACATGGATTCATATTTTTTCAAATGATAAATTATCCATAATCGGATAAATATTGTTGTTGTTTTTTTTCTGGAATTGCTTTTTTGTTGTTGTTGTTGATGATGATTGTTGTCCAATTTGAAATTGATTATCAGAATTTCTGAAAACATATTGCTGATCACTAACAAAATCGAAAAAACAAAAAAACAAAACAAATCGATTCGATGTTTGTTTGTCGAACCGGAAAAAAAACTAAATTAAAAAAAAAAGAAAAAGGAAAATGATAAAAAACAAATTATCAAATTAAATAACAATTCCTGGGAAATTTTTCGAGCAGAATAAAAAATATAAGAAAATTTCCATAAAGTTTTCGCATTGAATTTGAAATTTGGTAAAAAAAAATTTGAAATTTAAATTTTTTTTTAACATTTAGATAAAGGAATATTCTTCTTTTCTTGTTTAAAAAAATTGATGAGAAAAAGTTTTTTTTTCTCTCCCTCTCTTGCACTCTTTCGGATTTTCTGGTTGACAGCTTATATGTCATCGTTGTTTGGAAAAAAAAGAGAAGATCCTTGCTTATCAAATCCAAATCAATCCGTAATTTTTTTCTTTCATTTAATCAATCATAATTATTTAAATTTATACCGGATTAGATGAAAAAAAATCTCCCGAAAAAAAATTCTGATGTAATTCTTTTTCACTCGAATCAAGCAAATCAAGCAATTTTTTTGTTGTTGTTGTTGATTATACTGATAAAATAATCTGCTGTAAATGCTAATAGCTGAAAATTGTCACCCACACACACACACACACACGATATCGGATATCAAATTACCAGAAATTCTTTTCGGTATTTTGTTTTTGTTGTTGTTGTTGAGAAGATTTTATTCGTTCATCATTTAAAATTTTCTTTATTTATTTAATGGCTGGCTGTTGTTGTTGTTTTTCATTCTTTTATCTTCTATATTATTTAACACAAAGAAGAGAATAAAAAATCCTCATTGTTTTCATCATTCAAAACATTCATATCCATTATGCAATGTTGTTGTTTTTTTTTTTGTCATCCAGATTCTTCATCAGCCTACGCAAAAAGACAAGACAAAACAAAAAGATTATTTTGTCGGATAATGATGATGATGATGATTGTCGTTGAAAATAATGTTTGAGAATGAAAGAAAAATAAGAATTTTTATAAATCCAAAACACTGAAAAAGTTCATCAAAGTTATAAATATAGATTGATAATTTATTGGATTTAATTTAATTAAATTTTACAAAAAAAAATTTAATTAAATTATAAAAATTTTTAATCGAATATCTCCAGACTGTGGCCAGAGTGTTTTGTTTTCCCTGATTTGCTGTTGTCGGGGTTAAATTGATGATCCACACACACACACGCAAACTAATTATAAACAAAATTGTTGCATTCCAAAAATCAAATAACCAAACAAACAAAATATATGAAAATGATCCATTTGATTTGTTTATTGACTTTTATGACTCTATCTATTTAACCAGAAATATAGAATCATACAAATCAAGTCACGCAAAATTCCCGGGAAATGTTTTTCTCTTTGGTGCTTCATGGTTTGTTTTTGATCTATTTTTTCTAGAATATTTTCCTATAAGTTTTCCTCTCCTATTTCTCTCTCTTATGATCAATTTGAATCATAATAAACAAAACAAAACCAAACCAAAAAAATTATTCTATTGCGAAATGAATACGTTTATTTTGGTTATTTTTTTTCGTGCGTCACACAATTGTTGGCGGTTAGAATTGTAACGCCTTTGGCATCAATGAAAAGAATTTCTCAATATCTATCTATCTCTCTATCGTTCATTCACTTATTCAACCATTTTTTTCGTTTTGTTTTCGTTTCATTCATTCATTCAAAATCATCAATCATTTTTCATCAATATTGATCGAATGTTTGGAAACGATCATCATCATCATCATCAATATGATATAATAAAGTATAAAGTTTTGAATATTAACCAAAAAATGAATCAGAATGATTGAATGAATGAATGAATGAATGAATGAAGATGGAACAAAATGAAGTCATTTTTTTCTCTCTCTCTCTCCTGGTTGATAACAGATTTTGTTTTGCTCCCCATGGTACCACCACCACCATCATTCAATGATAATCATGATGATGATAAAGTAAAACATTCGGACAAAAACTACCCATCCACCTAACATTGGGTGGTCACACAGAGATTCTCACAGATCATTATAAAAAGCATATGCATAAAAAATACATCAAGTTGAATTTGATTTGAAACTTTTTTTTTGTCCTTTTGCTTTATCAAATGTAAAATTTTCGAAAATTATCTCGTTGTCATTTGAAAAAAAAGAAAAGAAATCTCAAAATCAAATAAAGAAAGAAGAAGAATCGTAATAAAAGTATTGTTGAGAAAATGTCATTCTAGTTTGATTAAATTCTTTTTCAATCTAATAAAATTCAAAGTTTTATGCATTGGGAACATTCATTTTGTATATGGTGAAAAAACTGTTTAAAGTTTTTATTTGGCGGCTAAAAATTTCTTCTTTCTTTTTTGGCACTGAATTAAATTATCACCGTTGAAACAAGATGAAAAAACAAAGATGTTGAAGATGAAATTTCATCATTAAACAAACATTATTTGGATGGCAAGTTTTTTTTTGTTTCATTAATCACCTTTTTTGCATCATGAAATAGAAATTTTTTTTCCTGTTGAAAATGATAATGAAATGTTGGCAAAAAAAAAACTAAATAAAATGCAACAACGGATGCAGGAGGAAAAAAAGTGAGAAAATTTCTGTAAAGGAAAAAGTTTACAGAAATCAAATTATCCATTTTTTTTTTGATTTGATTCTTGTTTCCAATAAACTTCCTCTTTCGCATCATCATAATCCAGTTTTTTTCCACGATTCTAACCCGGCTAAACTTTAATTTTTTACTGTTTTTTCTTTCTTTTTGCTTTATATGTCCCTATTTTAAAAGTTAACAATAATAACGATAATGATGAGAAACTAGTTCCAATTAGTTTTCGCCTGGTTTGTTTTTGATGATTCCAATCATGTATGATGTTTGTTTTTTTTTCGTTGTAGTTCCGTTAGAAATTGAAATCATCATCATCATCTTGTTGTAGTTTCTAAGCCAAAATGTGATAAGATAATACCAGCATCAAATCGGAAAAAAATGATAGCAAAATTCTTCTGTTGTTGCTGTTGATGATGAATTTTTTTTCCGAAAAGCTGATTAATGGATTCTCTCTTTCAATATTCTGTGTAACTGGAGGAGTGGTAACAACAACAACAACAACCAAGTGTGTTAATCATCCGAAAATATAGGAAAAAATTGTTGATAATAATTCGGATTTGGTCAGACACACACACACATTCATCTGATATTATCAAGCTTGACTTGATTTAATTAATTTAACTTTTTCTTTCTTTTTGTTGTTGTTTGGTTAAAGAATTCATTCAAGCATTCATCCATTCATTCATATATGTGTCATTGGATTCCGTCATTCATTCATCAATGTTTGACACTTCTTTTGATGCTGTTCATTTTTGTTTTTTTTTTTTTAATCAACAAAGTTTTCCCATATTCTTCATAATCATCCATTTATTTATTCAAAAAAAAGAATTTTCTGTTGTTCAGCTATGAAAACAACAGAAAAAAATATGTCAAAAATATTTAGCATCAAAATGTATATTTTTTTTCTGTTTTTCTGTTTTTTTTGTTGCTTGTTCATAGCGATAAAACATGTGATTAAGTTATCATTATTATGATTGTCATCGAGGTTTTTTTTGGGCCAATTTTTTTCCATGAAAACTTTCCCATTAGTACAAACTGAAAAAAGATTCGTAGATTCTTGATTGGTAACAGGAAGAAAGAAAGAAAGGAAAATCGTTTATATTTGTAACTGAATTTGATTGTTTGATAATAGAAAGTAAATGTATAACAAAATCAAACATCAGTTTTGTTTCACACGGTTTTGTTGTTTTTCAAATATGATGATCATCATCATTATCATCATTATTTTCATGTCCAGATTCATAGAAATTGATTCATAATAAGAATTTTTGTCTTTTTTTTTTGTTGTTGTCATTATTTTGTTTTGTAACAACATTGGTCTATAATTTTGTTGTTTGTTTTTTTCATTTATTTTCAGTTTGTTTCGACAATTTTCAAATGAAAAAGACAGATTTAAAAAAAAAAAACTTATTCTTTTCTTGAATGAAACAATTTTTGTTGTGAAAGATATTTTTTATGATAAAAAGATGAGAAATTTTCTTGAAAATTCATTCGTTCAGCAAAAAAAAATGAAACTTTTTCCAAAAAATTTTTCCATCAATTTTATATTCACTTTATTGTGAAACCAAAAAAAAGAAAAAAAAGAACGTTCATCAATTCAATATTGATTTTGATTTGTTTTGTTTTTTTTTTCTTGATTCAGGTGAATAATTAATGAATAAATAATTAGAATTTCTTTGAAGTTTGATTATGAAAATTCATCGTAAATAATGATTACATTATTATGATAGATATACAAGGGAGACACAATTGAAAAAAATATCCAAAGAATCAAATTTGGACCAGACACAACCAACAAAAAACAAAATTCAATGACATTTATATGATTTCAATAATATTCAGCTTTTTTGAATTTTCAACAAAAAAACACACAAGTCCATGTGTACAATTCTGTTTCATTTGAAAACATAAATTATTATTATCAACAACAACAATGATAATAATAAAATAATGATAATGATTATAATGTAAGGTATTTTTTTTTCTTTTTGTTCATCATCATCATGTTTGAATGAATAAATATAATGTTAATTTTTTCTTGATCATCATCATCATCATGATGAAAAAAAACATTGTTCAAAAAGTATACTTTTCATTCAATTGTGTACTGTGTGTATTTATTCTGATTCTTTTTCGTTTTGTGTTCAATATTATTCATGATGTGTGTGTGTGTGTGTGTCCTTATAATAATAATATTTAATTCCAGTGCAAGGAAAACATTATATGTGTGTGTGAGAGAGAGTGTGTGATATTTTTGTGCATACACGAAAGAAACGTTACAAACAGAAACAGAGGTTTTACAATGCTTGTTTTATTTAGACAAAAAACATTCGCTTTTATAGCAAATTTCAGAGATTGTTCGATAACGAACAATATGAAAAATCGAATAC